GTCACGGATGTATCAACAACAGACTAACAGTACTTTGTTTTTCCAACAATGGCTATCTTTAATTATTATTTGTGATCTCAACCAGTATTATAAGTCCGATGACGACGTTTCGTTTATTGTTGTGAAACCGTCCGGCGTTATTGAAATATATTATATATATGCATACGTTATATTTTGACGACAAAGCCCATGTGATAGGTATGCTATACTATTTTAAAACAAACACTAGCTTATTATTGCTTTTGTATATATTTATTTTACGATAAGTTGTGCGGATCTCAAAATAAATGTCGAAAATAGAAGAAATAAAATTAATTAATAATAGAATAAAAATATCGTTTTCTTTTCTTCTCATCGTCAGTCAATTTTTCAGTAACTTACTGGAAAATTGCAATTTCCTGCTATTCGAGTACCTACCAATTTTGCCAATAACGGTAATTTGAACAATTCTGATCGAAAAAGCAACACAATTTTTACAATTTTGATCATTTGCCTTCGTTTAAATTTTTTATGTCATACATTGCATCACCTAGCCACCATAGCGAAGAAAAAAAAACATCTTGTAGTTGTATTCGGCTTCTTTGATATTATGAAGCCTTATTTGCCTTTTTGTCATTTTTAATAACTGTTCGGACTTCAATCAATTACAGTGGACAATTGTTCGGCTGATCATTAATTAAAAAATAAAATGTTTCGAAAACAGAATCTTTTTCCATTATCGATATAAATACACTTTCTTGAAAAATCTAGTATAGGTACCAATAGGATGAACCAAGAAAGAACACTATCGCTACCTACAACAAAATTGGGAAACACCTTTATAGAGTATTGTGCAATTTTTAGAAATTTCTTTCAGCATTTTGCTGAACAAGAATTACGTTTAACTATACAAATTTCCGATGCATCTCTAATCTCATTCGATGTTTTTGGGATTTTCACGTGTACCTTTGATTTGATACCCCTCAGGACCATAAATATAAGATATTCGCGAAATGCCAACTTTTGCGCACAAAAATACATAATACGCGCGTATTAATTACATACTCATGAGGCGTAGGACTAGTCGTTCTGTACTCTTTTTTAATGAACGCAGAACACCGACATTAATATCGAATTGATGTTTCTATTTTCTATTTTACGAATTTTGTTTTGTTTAGATTTCACTTGCTTGCTTGACAATGCCGAAAGGTAAACATTATATTCGATAAAATGGAAAACACCAATTCAACATTATATTACCAACGATGAATTTGTTCAAGTTATGCATAAATTTCAGTGAAATTATAACAAAAATCCCACCTACATTACATTGAAATAGTTAAGCTAGCCTTATAGATATTGTCATTGATTTAATTTCGATGTTACCTTACCGATTTCTGCATCTAATAGCTGCCTAATTCCTCTGCACTAAATGGACATGGTGTATAAGAATATCAGTCTAATTATTAAATGTCACAACACTAAAAACTAAACAATGTAAATTCACCATTTCAACAATTAGGTTATAATAACAGACAAGAACCAACATGCGAAATCACTCCGGAAATCTTAAAAACTTTGTCTAGCCTTCTCCTTATCACTGCCCGAAGCAATAACTGGTTCGTATTCCTTGCATACGGTATCGCACCATTCGGATAAAATATTGTAGACTCGGTTAAACCCGATAGCACGGCAAAACAAGAAACAACCTTTATTTCTCCTTGACAAATTGGGAAAGCATTTATGCCGTAAACACAATAAAAATGTATCGAGGCCCATACCTACTTTGAATTAAAACTCATTTCAGTATTCGCGTGATTTTTCAGTTGTTTAATTTAAAACTAAAATAATCGAAGTAGATATAAATGAATAAAGAAGATTGTACAAATCATAAAATTAATGGCTTGGACAGAAAATTTAAAAATAAAACAATAACTATAAGTAAGTACTCCACGCGCGAATGAAAGTGAACATAGTCCAGTGGGTTATCCTTTTTAGTGGGGAAAACATGGACTAGACCTGATTTTAGCAAATTAAGGTCGATTTTTCGATGTTATTTTCCGTTTTCTTTTGAAACATTTTTCCTTTTGACTTAAAATTAAATTTAAGCGACCAGTTTTTATTTTTTAATATATCTTTTCGCTAATTGTGTATAAACTCGATTTTGAATAGGTTTTTTTGAAGAATGACAAAAATTACTTAAACGAATAGGTTGATTGTAGAAATAAAAAAAATTAAATCTTTCGACTTACTTTTCGTGAAAAAGGGTTACGCTGTACAATCATAAAAAGTGATAAAAATTATATAATAAAATAAGATTATGTCATACATTGCATCACCTAGCCACCATAGCGAAGAAAAAAAAACATCTTGTAGTTGTATTCGGCTTCTTTGATATTATGAAGCCTTATTTNCACTCTACCTATATGTAAATAAAATTGAATTACTACGGCTGAGAGATTATTAAATTTATAAATCGATCAAAATTTGTGAGAAAATTATTGCGATTAATCGTAATAATTTATTAGTTAGATTAACTAATTACCGATACAATCGATCGATCGATAATCATTAAAAACTGAAAGAAAAGATAGTCCGATAAGTCTATGACATTTTTCTCGATGACCCGACTGAATCGGCGAAACAGATTAGATGAGTTATTGTCGAATTGGGCGATTACTTTTAACAATCGATTATTGCGATTAATCGATTATTTTTAAAAACTAAAATAATCGCTTATTAATCGATTAATCGGGAAATTTGCCCAGTCTTAATTAATATGGGATCTCGGGTAGGTTTAAGGGCATTTTTTTGTTTCGTCAATTCCTGTTTCGTCACATAAAAATTTATCTGAATCCACCTTTTCTTTTCCTGCTTCGTCACCTACGAAAAATGCATTCCTGTTTGATCACCTACTCTTTCGCTATCGCGCTTTTAAATAATAGAATAGGAAAGAGTCACTCTAACATAAGTCACGAAAATCTTTTATAATGATTCACAATATTATAATATAATAATATAAAAACAATACTGAAGGAAAATGTATACCATTGTAGGTGCTAGCGTAGAAGCTGTCTTAGAGCAACTATTGAAAAATGATATAACATTACAATTTATGAAAATTAAGTTTTATTGTTAAATATGATTAATTAAGTCCTCTACTCTCCGACGAAGCCTGAAAGATAAATTAATTTTTTGTGTATATTTAACGACCGCGGACGTAGGAAAAATCTTTAAACACCCTAAAATATAACATTGTTTTAACTTTTAAGTTTTACTGTTTTGTTTTTGCCAGTCCTAAGCCTAGAATAAGTGTGAAGAAAGATTGATTAAAATAATTTAATACTTAGGTAAATAATTTATCTGGGTAGTAATTTCGACGTACCTACCTGGTTTATTTCAGGTAGTCAGGTGACGAATCGGGAAGAAATTATTACGTGCGGACAGGTGTAAAATAGGTAAGGTGACGAAACAGGAACAAATCGGTTTTAGTTACTAAACACCTTTAATGAGACATTTATTTGTAATAAATTGCCAAAAATTCTCCGTGAATTTTATATTTTGTTCGTGCAGGAAATATCAAGAAGTAACACTAAGTACCTGGTACTTACTTTAATATGAGAGTACATAAGAAAATTACTGCCCAATTTTATGTGATTGCGAAATATCTAAACACAACTGACCTGAAGTTTTTTAAACTATTTTTTGTAGCCATCCAGCTACTCTCTTTAAACGGTTCATTAAATANTTACAACGTGATTGTCATTCATAAAAATCACGCGTTGTTAATACAAGCAATAAACACTTTTAACGACACCGTACTTAACTCAAGTTTACTCCAATTTACTTCCCTCGTTTAAACGGCAATAATTTTTATTACGCTCAACTTCAATTTCGTTAACAGTTAATTAAGAATAGCGCTTTTTAAACTGCATCACAAGAACGACGAGGATCAAAAGTAATATTTATTTCGGTCAACACGTCATTTTTCAATTAACAATTGCCAATCCATTCCTTTATAAAATGGATCTTCTTGAGTGCAAAATCTAATACACACAATAATAATAATCATAACATACATAATAATACTCCCTACGACAATAGTTAAGGGGTTAATAGAGAGATAATACTTAGAGTGACGACATACGAATATCTTTAATACACGTGTAAATATACGTATATGTAGTAATATATATATATGTGTGTAATCATTTTAATAATTTTTGGTATAATGAAAGTGAAACAATCACAATTATTTCATTAAAAAGAAGAAAAACAGAAGTAAAACCTGCCTTAATTTGTGAATACCTAATAGATAAAATATTCACCAGTCCTCTAAATTTTCTATTGTAGATAAGACAGGTTAAACTTCGACTTCAACTCAAACGTGCTTTTACTACGAAGATTCTGGCGTGTTAGTCTTATCCTTTTTGAAGCGTCTTCTAACTAGGAACCCTCTTACACCTGCTTGTATTTTGGTCGCAGAACGTTCTTCGATGTCGGAATTCTTTTTCGCTGACGTGTTTTTAGAAACAGCCGAAACGTCGCTGGATCTCAATTTTCCAGAATTCTTGCGTCTACCAACACGTCCTTGGCTAATGGCTTCTGTGCCACCATTCTACAATTAAACAACTACCTGTTAATAATAAAAACTAGGAGACGACAAACCCAAACTTAATAAAGGAACGCAGGGCTTTTTTCATCTGTTTTATTAAAAACATCTTCGTTCACAGAAAACTTTTATTTACAGCGAAATTTGATGCTTATCAATTATTAAAACCGTTTTAATGATAACAGAAAAAAAATGCTTCGAATGGAATTACGAGACTTAAATAATCTTTAATTGAACTTTGAACTTTTTTGTTCTTTTTGCTTACGTATCTACCACGTAGGGGTAGCTACGTCGTGGGTTCCATTCGACAATTTTTTCGGAAATTATAAATAGGGATATAAGTTAATAACTAAATAAAAGTGTTATGTTATGACAGTGGCCGCAATTTTTTGGCGTAAGTGTTTGAGTTAAAAAATTAACGCTATCAACAACTGTAGTAGGTACGTATATAAATAATAACAATTATATTATTAATCAAATAATATTTGTGATGTTAGTTTTCGTAATAAGTCGAAATTTTTAAGGAGAAAAAGAGTGCCCTTGTTGGCGGTTATTGTTCTCAAAATAGCCAAAATTCATGACGCGTGCATGGCATTCAACAGTTTCACGCCCAACTTGAAACACATAACTCAAATTGCGTCAACGCAACCTATTGCCTTGTCATTAGTAGCATGTCACAAAAAAATTTACCAATTTCCTCTCATAGTTACAAAAAGAATTAGCCGCGCTCCTTATTTACCAAAATTATCCCAAAGCATTAATATAAAATTGAAAATAAACCAATTATGACCTTTAACCTCCAAGTTTTTTCTCCCCAAACAACTCGAACTTCTGTTCACGCCCTCGACCAAATCCCCTTCTTTTTCGCAACTGATTTTTGACTTATTTGTTTCTCATTAATAAAATTCTAAATCAACAACAGTATAAATACTTTGTTAAAAATAAAACTGAATGCACTCATTATAGGTAGAAAACTCAGTTAATTATTTTCCAAGGATTACATGACCAGAATCGTTTAGCCTCTTATTTGCACGCGTACGTCAATACGCAAAAAGTTTTGTTAAAATTAAAATACTTTTTTATGTACACAAAATAACTAATTTGTAATGAGTTTGAAAATCAAAATTTCAGTTTCCGGCATACATTTTGCAACGTATGTGGAACAAAAAATATTTTAAAACAAGCGTTAGATTCCTTTGGTGCCTAATGTTCTGATAGGTAATGAATCAATAAACCGTAATGTATCAGGTATATTTTTTATTGAAATTGAAATTTTACTAAATGGGTTTAAACCACATTCATTTCAGGACAGGTTACTAACTTGACCAACTTTAGTGGGCAAGAGATCTTATTTAAACCTATCGATAAAATGTATCGAATTATCATCATCATAAACCTGTGTAACAAAAATTTGTGTGAGGTAAGCACACAATGCAAACTGCTAAACGTCTTAAAATTAATTTCAAAGCTCCTCCAGTTTCGTTCACATATAAATTAAAACTGGAATGTTGAGCATACAATTCAAAATTGCTTTTAATAAGTATGTTACCATCCACATGTGCTTATTGGAATGGTTCCAATGTTTTAATGATTCCAAGGACGAATTTACATACCTATATCTTATTTCTGATGCTTCTTCATTTATCACATTTACGTATTTATTGGCTAATATAGTTCGAAAACCAAATACAAACCTTCGGAATTTTGCTAATAACAAACAAAGAGCAAATTTTACTCACAACTCATTATCTATAAGGCGTCAATTTTTAAAAAATATAATTTAGTGGAGAACTGCTTATAGGATAAATAAATATTTGTTTACTACTAACGAACAGAATCGAGATATACCTTGCAGCGTCAATAAATCCAAAAACTAAAAACGTCCGTACTATTAGTATTTAGTGGGTACAGTACACAGTAGGTATAGTTAGGACGATCAAAATGGGCGAAGTCCGAAATAAAATATCTTTGAGAATGAACGTATCTTCTTTCTTGTTTCCTCTTGCTGCGTTTTGAACACGCCCTTGTTTAGTTAGGAAGTGCTTCATGAGTAGTATAGCCAAAGTGAAAAGAGATAACCGAATAATAGTAAGCTGTGCAAAGGTTGTAGGTTGCTTACGTATGCAAAAGATTAGGGTCGACTTTATGTCTGCCTGGTGGAAATTATTTCTTTAAACAAGAGTATTTGTTTTCCTAAATTCCTGAAAATGTCGAACTTCTTTTAAAGTCCGATGCTGCAACATGCTCAAATTTTGCTTGTCTGCATCTCTTTCTGTTTTACATTAATTGGTGTAATTTTTTCTTTATTAGTGTCCGCTGCAACTCCTACCTGACATCTCTTTTCTATGTTTACGATATTCCCTGCAACGTTTGTCATGAGTAAAGGTAGGCGTTCTGTCGGTAACCGCTTTAGTCTAGTTAGTAAGTTGAAAGAAATAAGTAAATGGGACAGTTTTATTGCAGACTATGCCAATTTTAAACGTCTCAACTATAGGTATGCCCAAAAAGAGAGCAAAACAAATTCCAAAATCCACATTGGCAATATTCAAATCTGGAGTTTAAGTTTAAACTTTTGCTCCGAAGAAATTAATAAAAAACAAAAGCATCTTTTGTACCTACTACAACGTAATACTTTACTAAAACCTTTCACAGTTCTCATTTATTTCGACTGAATTATGTTTTTTTCTTTTTAAACATAAAAGATAAATTCTTAGTTTTTGGACAATTTTTTGATCTATACACCCAAATATTTAAAGCAGTGTTTGGAAAAACCTTTATCCCTCATGTTCTGCGATTAATAAAAGTGAAGAAAATTTAGAACGAAAAATAAAATTAGTATGCAGACGCAGAAAATACGCAACAGATATATGTTTCAAACATAAATGTTTATTGGCACAATAAAACATCTGAAACATCGCATTTCTCTTTGTTTCATCGTGTGTCTACAACAATAAATTTTAATGGAATCTAATGATAATAAAACTCTTTACGCAAGTTTATGTTTAGGTAAAACCCCCGAATTTTCTTATTTGACGTATGTAATTTGATGATAATCTTTGGAGTCAAAAAAAATATATTGTGGTTCTTCACACGAAAAGACAATGATTAAAGGAAAGTTTAAATGTTTTGTCTCCAAGAACATATGTACACTTCCACAATTTTAGAAGTACAAATTACAAATATTGCGCGGTTTTTTGCTACAGATAAAATTTCTCTATTTACTTTAGGTCTGTAGTACCTGCATTGGTATTAGGTCCACAACTGGTTAATTTAGGATATCAAAATATTATTATTACCATTCGTAGAAATCAATAATTAATCAAGTCAAATAAATAATAATTGAGGCTAAATTAAATATCTCACAAAGGAAAACACCGCTAGTTTTTAAAAATCACAAATAATATATGTACCAATTTGAATTGTAATAAAGTGGTTGATTTAATCATATAATAAACCATGACAAATAAATAAAATAAAAGCGGCGTTATCTGAAAATCGGTAAAAATAAGGTAAAGTACCTGCTGATTGCGCGCGAGTCTATTAAATTAGATTTTACTAATTAAAAATTGGTGTTGACAAAAATACTTATCTAGTTTTTGTAATAAACCTCCTACCCAATTATTACAATAATTATGACGCTTTATATCTAGGGTATTTCTAGGGTGGCTATGTTTCTAATGAAATTTTATGCAGCTGTCTCCTCTAACAATACGATACTTTCCATTCACTATTTTTTCGTGGATTTTGCGATAACCGAAACCCCGAGGGGATCAAATGAGGAAAATAAATTTGCATGGAAAATTGTATTCTCTGCATGTACCAATTTTAAATTTGGTATCAAAGTATACGTGTAAAGCAGAAGTCATCCCAACTATCAGAAATAATATTGACCCATGTGAATTGGAATAATCGAAAATTTGGATAAATTAAAGACTAAAATTACATAAATAACAATGACTCTAGTAAACATGCTTGAGTAATCTCCCACAGAACACACTTACTTTTATTTCGAATAATGCGAGGGATTTTTTTAAACTATTTCGGTTAAAACGGAGAAATTATTTTACATCTCATTCGGATAAAACGAATTTCGTATTACCAGGATTAGGATATTCAGAATTCTACTCTACATTAAAAAAGAATCCCGTGTTAACTTGAGTTATTGGGCAGATTAAGAAAAAAGTCATAATAGAGAACTTCAACCTCTCCGTTCAAAAATTAGCCAAAGTTTATGTCCACACGGGCAAAACTTTAATTGATACTAAAACGATTGAAAAAACAGCAACAATAAAATTAATTGAATGTAAACANTTATATAAAATTTGATGTATCATACAATTCGCAAAAGAAAACGGCCAAATTAGAAAATACAACCTTTTTACTATGTCATCCTCAAACTGAATCAAACTTTAAATTCTATGCTATTAAATCAATTTTATACGAAATTTTGACAATTTAAAATAATCACAACCATACAATTGTTAAAATCGAAACAATGATGTGTTTAATGTCCTTGTATATACCTATGGTCTATTTATCTTGTAGGTCACATACATCAGTGCATTCTACGCTTAATTTCAAAAGACATGAAAATAAAAGTTAATAGTTGTTCATCAGTAAAAGGGTTATTGTGAAATTAACATATTTAGGGCGTAGGTCAGCAAAAACCGCTCATAAAAATTGTAAACCCGTATGACCTTTCGATTATGGTGATATTTACAGTAAATTGCGTGGAAATCAGCTAGTTGAAATTGACGTGATATTCGGTTTTCGAAATCAAAAACGGCCCTGTCCTTTTTTAAGGATTCGGCCGGGTACCAGATAATGATGCCGGGTTTCATCCTGAGATCTGATTCCCTAAATAAACCATCTACTTCTTCCAGTTTTTCGTCTCCTATTTTCATGTTAACGCTATCCCTTATAGAGGACTCGACTTGAGGTAAACTTAAAATTTGGAAACTCATTTTAAGGACGAATTTTGTTATTTCTTACAATTAGTACACTTT